TGGTACAATAACCCAACCCACCTACAAAACATCGAATCATGGTATCTATTTAAAAATGGACTAGTTCTGAAAGAGATTTCCAAACAAATTTACCCGGGGTTACAAATGGGGTTATTGCGATGAAAAGGCACTTCCTGGGTACAAGCATATGAGTGAACCGACAAGACTATCAAGTGCACATGCCTGAAGAACTGCGAGATCGGTCGAGTTTTTTCAGGGGAATTTTGTAGTCATCCACATGCTGCATATTATGAAATATACATATATATCATAATTATATAAATATATATGGTTTGAACATTCCGTTCTCATTGCCCCATCCGAAAGGGCAGTCATGAGACAGCAATCCAAATCGTCTCTCGAAAGTGCATGGTTAATCAAATGACACATTGTGCAATAACAAAACTCTGAAAATGAGCATGTTTTCCTGTAGTTTTCCAATAAAAATAAACCGAACTGGGTAAAACGGATTAGCACTTGACAGGCAGAGAAACAACAATGACACTGGATACCTCATTGCTTCACTTTTCAGACTCAAAGTGCTATAAAAAATTAAACACTACAGCTTAGTCCGTTCTGAGGAAAAATAGAGATGGCACACGTGGATGTTGGTGGACTGTGCGGTGCCACATTGATGAAAACGTGATCTTCAGATCGGATGGCCACCGTAGATAATATGATGAAAAATGCTCTGAAACGAACTGCATGGACCACTTGTGGTAATCTATTTTGCGTTATAAAGAAAAATAAATAAAATTGAGAACAAAAGACAAAGAACATCGAAATCAGTAGTTGTTGTAATCAGTATTATGAAATGGATCATTTGGTGCACAAACCAGCACCAGTGCGGAATACCACACACACTTACGCTTTCGAGATTTTGTCGAACCATGAGCTCTGTTCAGATGATCAGGAGCCAGATGAATTGGTTCAGTTGATGCCGGTGCAGAGGTTTCCGGGCGAGTAGACTGTTCAGTTTGTTTGGTTGTAGCAGGAGCTTCGAAGTCACTGTCGCTGGAGTCCCAACTAGATTTTGCTGTGGTTTTTACAACCTTAACCTCGCCTTCAAGTGTATCACTTTGTGATTTAACCAAATGTGATCCCGAAAGACAACGAGAGGTTGAACATTTCTTCTGCGAAAATTCTTTTATTGAACTAATGGTGCGTTTTTTGTGCTGGGAACGAGCAGTACGGGTAAGACTGGGGGAAGTTCGTGGCTGTGATTGCACATGATCTTCATCCGAACTATTGTAAGCCACGAGCGAATGAGCGTTGGGTGAATGTTCTCGAATGGAAGATGGAGAAAGGGCTTCACGAGACCGCTTGTCCAGGCAACTAATGATAGGGTCCGTGAAGCCCGATGTGTGAGATTGGGTACCGCGCGTTTTATCCGTAGGCTGCAGCCCGGTGTGGGATTCGCTTCTAACACGTTTATGACGCGAATGATGCCAAGGTAGACGACGATTGTGTAAGTCATTGTTTTTTGACTGCACACGTTTGTTGTTATTTTTGTTCAAATGATCTTCAGTATCCAGAAAGTTACCAGACTCATGTTCGATGGAGGGTGAACGAGAATGACGGAGAATGTCTCGTTTCTTCTTTATGCAATGTTTTTCTTTTCCGGGTGATTCTGGAACTAAAATATAGCAGCACAAAATTACCGTACCAATATGAAATAATAAAATATCCCGTGAAATAATATGCACGGTAGTGAGAAGGCAAAATCGTGAAAAGTGTGTGAAAGAAAAGCATATACAAACGAGCTCAACGAAATATGACAAAATACGAAATGAAAGTGGTTTCAGTTATTTTGGTAATTTTTGAGACATCCTGCATACCGTTGGCATACATTGATATACTTTTCTCGTTCCTAAACCCTAATCAACATGAGGCACAACCGGTGGCAAGAACGTACTTTTTGAATGCCATGTTCTTCTTCAATTAGAACCTTTCGATGTTCGAATACAACTGATTTAACCCAAGAATTGTTCATATTTAAATTCATCGGAAATAAGTGAAAAATCTCGCAACATGCATAAAGCGTGCGTGTGAGACATGATGGATAATCTTACTGGGGGAAAGCATTTTTTAGCGACCGATCACCCAGATAAACGTAGGTAGTAATTAACTGACGTATCTGCATATGAAGAAAAAAGAACTGATGGAAAATATACCTTACCTGCAGATAGGACAGGTGAAGATGAGAGTCGACCGTCTTCCAGCTGATGCGGAGAAAAGCCACTACCATCAGGTGGAGATTTCGAAACAGCACTTTGTAGGGAATTAAAGTTGGGTGGAGTTTCCAGCCGCTTGTTG